AAGCAAGATTTCCATCAAATTTCGTTAGCTCTGGTGGTTTTAAACTTTCCATTTTGAAAGCAAAACACTCCTGGCATTGTATAAAAGAAAAGAGGGTATAATTTTAACTGATTATTATAAGCATGGAGAATTATAGAGTACTGCAGTGCTGACATAGTTCTATTTTTACATTTCCAAAAGTATTGCCTTTCACCAATTGGTAAATACTCAGTGTTAAATGTTGCCATTTACGAATTACTAAATATTAAATGTTACACAAATGACTACAGAAAGAGGAAATATTTAACTCCTTATTCCACGAATTCATTGAGGTCGGAATTCTATTCATACTCAAATTGTACCTTCCTTTTTCTCTCGAAAGCCTCGGAAAAATCTTCGAATGAATGACTTCAAAAGATAAGAGCATTGCACATGTATATTTCAGATTCTTTATAAGGTCTTCGTGGTGTGATGGTCGGCACGCTGAGCTGGTATTCCAGACATCTGCGGTTCGATTCCCAGCAAAGGCATTGTTAATTTTTCATCTTTCCTGCTTCCAAAATACCTAATGTCTCTACAGTGGCGCCCGAACTAAAAGGGTGGTGAATGATGATTTCTCCCTACCCAGGATTTGGCGATTGGGTCCCCTAAAAACCCCAGTCACCCTTTAAAAGGGGGTGTATATAAGGTATTTCTCCCACCTTTTTGGCATGCCTTCGTGTGTAGTGGTCTGAACACCGAGCCGGTATTCCTGAGGTCCGCAGTTCGATTCCCGGTGAAGGCATTATTAATTTTTCATTTTTCCTGTTTCCAAAATATGTAATAGCTCTACATCTTCATAAAAATAAAGATGTGCATTATATGGTGAATACACCTAAAAATTAAAAAAATGCAAGTTTGAAATTATAGGTGCACAACATACGATATAGCTAATCTGCCGTGACAAAAGTTTCCTAATTTTATGCAAGATGTGTTAATTGGTATTGTGAGTAATTAATGGTATTTTCTTATAAATTTATAAACAGTGAAATTGGACATTGCATGGTTCATTGAGTGTATGATTACAGTAAATTCATCTATAAATTAAATTGACATTAAAGTTCTTTGAATTAAGCTGCTCATTTTATTTAAGTAACGTTTTGCAGTTTCATCCGTTAATCAAATTTAACATTGCTGTGCATAATTGATTTGTATGAACAAATCAATTATGCACAGCAGTGTTAAATTTGATTAATGGTAGTGAGTAATGTTAAATTTGTATGAACAAATCAATTTAAGTTGTCTTCTATCTATTATTTGGTTGTATTATACTCGGTGGGCCACAGAAAAGTAACCTTCTTTAGGGAATAATATGAGATTATTCCCAGTAACGGAGTTGCCAACTCTCGGACAGTTCTCCCGCCAACCTGATTTTCAATGGATTTCTCCCGACTTTTTTCTCATTCTTAAAATTTCTTGCAATTTTTATGTATCTTGGCTTAATACTTCGTTCTTTGCACCAAAAAAAAAGTGATTCTGGGCGTCACTAAAAGAAAACCAAACTTGTTTCGTCAGTGAGAAATTCTGCAGCGTTTCTGCTTTGTGAGTGTGACCACATGTGTTTGCAAACATTGTGTTCTGATTCTCCAATCAGCATCGAGTGCCAGTGCGTATCATCTGGCATATATTAGCCAGTGAGCACAAACCAAGATCAAGGCTGTTATTTCGTTCATCTTGTTGCTGACCGGTGTGAGTGCACATGCTTTCGAGAAATAGTTTAAGAAATTACAATCTTTTGTGTTAGTTATGTCTGCGAAAAAGGTAAAGTACTCATGTACTTTTCAAAAAGCTTACACAGATGACTTTCTTTCTATTTATTTCCTCAAGGAAATGTAATACATTTGCAATGTCGTACTGTTTGTCATTGCGAATTTTCGATTTCGTATCGTGGAAGGGCCGATGTTTTCAAACACGTGCATACACAAAAACACAAGGACAACATGAATGCTGTTGGGGGAAAAAATAAAAAATTAGATTTTACTGTGGAAACAAAGGACCAAAAAGTTACTAATGCCGAATGCATGTTCTCTGCCTTTTTACTTGAGCACAACTTGCCACTGAATGCATCAGATCATGCTGCAGCTTTATTTAGAAAAATGTTTCCCGATAGCAAAATCGCTAAGAAATATTCAAGTGCATGGACTAAAACGGCTGCAATTGTTAAAGAAATGGGTATGAGAAATAAATCTTCAGTTATTGACTGCATTAAAACAGCTCCATTTTGCCTCTCTACCAATGGAAACAAAATAGTCATAGATAGTTAAGCATAAGCATATAAGCAAAATAGCATCTTAATCATGAAAGATGATGATATTGATGTTGCAGCTGATAAATTGCAGTCACAGTTTTGCAGTTTACAATTGGAAAAATTGGATAAAGTTATAAAACCAGCTAGGATTGACACCCAGTGAAGTTTAATTGGGAAACTGAAAGGTGCTGATGGAATTTTTAAGTATAGTGAACTGTCTAGAATAATGTTGGACATTCTGACAATTCCCCATAGTAATGCAGAATGCGAAAGGATTTTCAGTGTAGCTGTGAAAACAAGGACTAAATTTAGATCTAAAATTAGTAATGACACATTAGAAAACCTTTTATTAGCAAAAGCAGGCCCACGGGGTAATTGCTATGACAGAATTATGAAGTTTCTTTCTTAATGAAAGCAAAATCTGTCACTGTTAAACTATTTGCACGAAAACTAATTAAAATATTATTTTTTGTTAAAAGATGCAAATAATAAAAATGTTTTTTACAAGTAAGTATTTTTGTGCTGTTTGTTTAAGAATTGGTAACTGAAATTTCAGATATTTGTTTAGTTAATTCATTATTAAAAAATACCTTTTTATCATTTAAAAAGTCTTTTCGTCGTTGAGAAAAATCTCCTGATTTTTTGAGTGTCTTAGATTGGCAAGTGTGCCAGATGTACAGGAGTAAATAGGAAGGCAAAATAAAGCTGGAACAATGCTTTATATGGTGATACCAAGTTAGATAGTTTGCAGACCAAGATGAAAGGTCATTGGCCTCATCCAAAGAGTGTGTGGCTGGGAATTGAAGACAGGATACTTACCTATGGCCCACTCTGTATAATTTGAAAAAAGAAAAAAAAGTATATGTATATATTGTCGAGTGCATAATTTATTAACCCTTTGAGAGGCGGTGGTCGTGCCCTGAAACCACCAATTTTCGAAATATTTTCCGCTCTTGTTTCCAAACTGTTTGAGTGAAAACCGATTGATTACTTATCTTTTACCTCTAAATAATGCAAAATTACTGCAGAACTATACATTTTTAGGTCTTAGTATTTTAAATCGGATGCCTTTTAAAATTCATTTTCAGTGAGACAAAATAACTTTCTTTTATTTATATTAAATACTTAAAATTAAAAAAAAATTATCTCACATCATTATTTCTATCACAAACAATAAAAATACAGCAATAATTAAACTGCATATATAAACAACCTGTGTATATTTATGGTATTTTCTTTGTGGTTTCAGGGCGCGACCACTGCTCCACTAGAGCATTGCGCTACAATGCTCACATTGCCCTAGAGGCTCGGTGGTCGCACCCTGAAACCACTGCTCTTTATAGTAATGTGTTTGCTGCTTTGAAATAAAAGTGTTTATTTTCACCTGGATATAGATAAGGGGTTTTGAAATCACAGTTATTGTATTACCAAACAATACATGCACCTGCCCCCATAAAATATTTTTCGTTCCAGAGATTTTTCTCTGCTTTCAACATGCTTGCTCTCTATGCTAGTACTGTGATTTTCTAAATTATTTTGTGTGGTTCCAAAAAATTGCAAATATATTTTTGAATAATTAAAAATAGAAATCGCACAAAAATTTAATTAAATTTAAAAATATTTTGCCAATATTTTATTTTCTACTGTTGAGATTCAAAATGCCTCGCAAAGGGTTAGAAATAGCTGATGCATTAGTGTTACTTGAAGAATTACCTTCAGATCCAGAATCAGTGGTCTCTGAGGATGAAAGTGAAGGAGAAGGAAGTACTCCTTTATCTCCTTCCCTCCTGCTTATGGAAATATAGAATATGAAAGTGATGATCAGTCAGAAAATGATGATATAAATTTACCAGGTCCTTCCAGAATTGCAGATGTAACATGGAATAAAATGCAGAATGTAGTGAAATCCATTCCCGAATTTTCTGAGGATTATGGCCCAACTGACAAAATTACCTCTATGGAAGATGCAAAACCCATGGATTATTATGGCCTTTTATCCATCTATTTATCCCAATTTCCTTATTATGTACATTCTTATGTTTTTACTGCTGCAGAAAAATTACATAAATTATAATTTTTTTTTCTGATGATATACTTTGTAAAATAAAGTAAAAAAATTATATTTGATGCAATTTTTAAATGCAGTTTTTTTTTAATTCACAAATTTCGTCATTCATTGGAAATACGTACGGAAAAAAGTAAGTTTTTTTTTTCCTACTAACTCAGTAAGTTTCAAAGTCCTAGGCACGTGCTGGTTTCACAGCGAAACCCCGCACCCACAGATTAATGGGGGGGGAGTAGGTTTTTTTTAATTCGTAAATTATTTGTCTCTAGGATCATAATATTCGATTTCTAGTGTTTTTAGTTAAAATATTTTTTAAAATAATATAGCGTGCGTCAAAGGGTTAAAGCTTTGGCCTTCTATTAGCATAAAATCTGTTATAAAAAAATATATGTTAGCAGTTTAAAGCAGAATAAACAGTGATACATATAAAAGCTAGCTCAATAAGCAAATGTGATGTGGTATGTATGACTGTGGTTTTTTTTAGTATTCTTAAATTATGGAAATGGGGGGGATGCTTTTGCAGTGTACATTTGTTCTGCATTAGAATTTTATTTTTTTATATGGTTAAACTGTTCGGTTGTGACTAAGTTTTATATATAATATTTTAAATGCATTTATTTAAGATTTTAAATACAAATGTATGTTTTTTAAAACTAGAATTATTTTCAGATTTTGCAAAGCACTGACATTCCACACACATTTGAATTTGGTTTCACTTCACTACTTCCTTATTTCACTTCCAGATTTGATATAAGTAAGTAACACCACTGCAGTTTAAGTTTTAATTTCTGCATTATTGATAATTGTTTGGTTATCAATTTCTTAAATATGACTAAATATAAACTTTAGCAAAAGTTGGCATTTAGCAAAGATTGTATTTGTTTCTGAATATATTGTGGATTTCGAAGAAGTCACGCTTCAAACCAGAGTTTTCAAGGTGCAAAAGTGTTTCATGTTGGGAGTGAGGTGGAAGTAAAATAAATAAGCTAAAATCAATAGAACAAGCCTTATCATGAAAAACAGAAATTAAAAGGGAAAATTAAGAAACTTGGCTTTAAAAGCTTTTGGGAATTATGGAAGGAAATTAATATCATTTAAAAAATAAGTTTTTTTTTTATGTAATCTAATTATCCAGCTAAAAAAAGTTTTTAAATAATTTTAGCTGAGCTAAACCTAGAAGAGATCTTAGGATTATCCATAAAAATGTATTTATTACCTTTTCCGGTACAGAATTTTATGTATTTTAAGCCTGATTTTGAATACTTTGTAACCTAAAAATTAAAATCTAAAATGGATTCTTTGAGTATTGGGTTTTATTAAGAGGGAAATTAACTTGAAAGTTGAAGTTTTCAATAGTTAGAGCAAATTTTTAAATAGCAGAGGAAAAGAATGAAAGTTTTTTTACTGGTTAATTTTTTCTTCTCAATGAATGAAAAACAGACTTTTTTAAAAAAAGCTTTATCAATAAAAGTAAAAGAAAAGCATCAATCAGTGGCAGCCAATTTCAAATAATTGTGTTCATTCTAGGAAATGTAAAAAATTGGCAGCATGATTCGTGTTAAATTGAAAGGGAGTCAGTTCTGTTTGGTGGATAACAGGATTTTAGGCATTAGAACTTTTCTGACCAAATTATTTTACTTTTCCTGAATTTTTTGCAGCTTAGGGCCTTTCTTCATTTTATCAAGTTATATTTTTTCTGTTAATATTGAAAACCTTTTGCAATCGTAACTACTGAATGTGTCAGTTATTAATGTTAAGCATGGTATGTAAAACATTTAAATTATTTTGAGTTTTATGTTTCATTGTTGTTTTTATAGCTTTCATAAATCATGAAGATTGAAACTGAAGAAATTGATGAATCTGTAGTAACATTAGATACATGTGAGTATTTTACAGTTCAAAAAGTTTTAAAAAGATGACAATATTTTTTTTTTTTTTTGTTATTTTTTCAGCCATCCAAAATAGGAATTTTTTTTATTTCACTCCTTATAGCAATTTTTTTCCTCCTGATTATTATGTCAGTAAAGAGGAATGTTGTGTTCTGTAAAAGAACTTTAAAGTAATTGAGAATTTCTTATAAATTTTGTTTATTTTTTAAAACAAATTTGAAGGTAATGAATTAAGCATTTTTAGTGGTTTCTATATTTTCTTCCTATCTATGTATAAATAAGCTTTCTAATTATTTTGGAAATTTTGTTCCCTGCATTTAACAGATTTTGTGCAATAAACGGTCATTTGGTATTCTTGTAAATTAAATTTTTTAATACCGTATGTTTCTTTGTATTAAGCCGAGAATTTTTAAAACTTTTTCTGAAGCTAAATTATGTATACAGATTCACTTATCTCGCAAAAAAGATAGGCACTTTTCTGTTAGCTGGGCTCAAGCATTGACTTGCCAAATATTTCACTTTTTATTTCCTACGTTTATGAAAAAAAATTTTTTTTGAATGAACTGAGGTATACATTTTAGAAACGGGAGTTGTATTATTTTCGAAACTGTTCATTATGTTGGTTAGGGAAGTCGTCACCAAAACGTAAAACCTGATGCTGGCAAAATTTACTCTCCACTTTTTCCATACGAATTTGTTTTTCATTTGTGGAGCCATGCTGAGCAGCCATACTGTCAGAATTTTCACCAAATGCGATCACTTGTAGTTTACGATTTGCCATATGAAGATTTCTATTCTGAACTCTCATTGTTGGCATCTGGCATTTTATTTTACGGTGATTTGATTTTAAAATCTTTTTTACCTGCTTGGCAATATTTTCACCCTCATGGTGACATATATGAATGTTAGAGTAATTTCTTTTATTCATTTTGTCTCGGGTTTTGAATTTTGAACAAATGTTTCTAAAAAAAAAAAAAAAAAAAAGATGTTTGACCTATATTCAGAAATATAATGGTATTTGAAGTAAACTTTTTCAGCAGATATCTTTTATAGCTTTTAAGTAATTTGTATTCTCATATTCTCATTTAGGCACTTAGGAGTCGTAATTGAATAGGCAATTAATTTTTTTTTTCAGATGTGTATAAGTTTAAAATTTAGCAGAGCCATATCTTTGTTTATATATTAATTATATCGAGATTCCACCTGACAGTACTAGAATTAACTTCATTTTATTTGACTTCAGAAAAAGGTGCTATATTCATTGAAACACATTTATATTCCAGTACTTGCAAGGTACTAATTTGTTACTATTGCTATTTGTGTATAAGACTGACTTTTGTTCTCAGTTTTTGGCAACATTGTTTTTTGTGCTTGTAAAAAGATGGAATTTCATGTATCTGGCAGCAGTAGAGAATGTTTTGGTTTTAAAAGGTACTTAAGTTATGCTGAATAATGTTTTTTATATGTTTCCTGTTATGCCTCGTTTCCACTACTGCGTACGAACGCGTTGCGTCAATTGAAAACACGCCTATGACATCCGTACAAGCGTTTCCACTGCCATGTATCCGTAGAATATTTTCATTTTCCACCGCTAGGTGTCACTGTAATATTTTGGCGTCAAACAAGCAGTTCGCGAGTTTCGACGCTGAACATCTGAATTTTTCCCGCTTTAAGTGAGTATTGTTTGTTTTGGATTTGATATGGATCCTGATGTAAAATGCAGAAAAGTTTTGTTTACTAAATTCCATGTTTTTGGAACTTTTTATTTCTGCTTATGAACTGCGAAAGTAAAGTACGCTAGCAATTTTTAAATAAGTAAGGTTATAATGCATATTATGAACATCACAAATTCCATAGAAGTGGAAGTAAATTTTTAAAACTTTTTGCGTTTCTAGAAACCTTAAATATCAATGAAATAATACATATATTATTAAAACTAAAATGTACTGTTGGTGAAAAAATAAACAAATAAATAAAATAAAGTTAAAGGAATTAAAAAATAGTTCGTACTTTAAAAATACAGAGCAACTGTAAAGAAAGGTTCACAATATTTACACAAAATTTGCTATGCTTCAATAATGCTGACTTCATGGTCATAGCTGGATAAGTTATTAGAAATCTCGTTTGTTTTAAAATGCACTATGGGCAGTTATATTTTATGCATAATCCATAAAATATTATTTTTAATTCATATCTCTTTTTATAGAAGTTATAAAAATAAGATTTTTCTCTTTATATATACACACATTAGGTAAAGAAAAGGAAGATATTTAATTAATTAATTCCTGCACTTCTGCTGTAGAGGATTGAATTTTAAAGCAATTATTATGCAGTCAAAAGTCGTTAATTCGGAATGATCTATGATCTGGACCTCAAAGCTACAAACTTTCCGCGCATAACGCATGCGCATAATACTTTCACGCATGCTAATAATACATTTACGCGTGCATGTTTACTGTATAACGGATGGTATAAGCTAAGCTAAAATTATCTAATTATCTATTTCAGTTAATGTTGCAGATTGCGTTGTTCCTTAATCTTCGAATTGGATCCGGCTTATTATTTTTTGCAGACTGTTAGAGCAATTTTATAAAAGTGAGCTTGAACTTTCGATTATGTCAAAATAGAATTTCCGATGCTGGAGCTACCAAAATATCTGCAAAGCGAAAGTATGTTTCGATGTCCATCAAACAGAAAATGGAATTGCTGCAAAAAATGGATAAAGGCATATCCTTTGTTTCTCTAACCATTCCGAAACCCGTTTATCAATTTCACGCTGCTCTGCGGGGGGGGGGGGGGCGTTGCGGCGCGCAATGAACTGGAAGTTGATCTGTCAGCGCTATTCTTATCTTCAGGGCAGATGTTTTTATTTTATTCAGCTTTATAATTCCTTACTAAATGTAGTATTTCATCTCGATGTATTCCATCTTTGATATGATTTAAATCAAATTCTTCGTCATTATAAATATCACGAGTACACATCAAATAGTTTTCTGATTGCAATTTTCTAATTTCAACTATGCATAATGTATGCTTTACGCATACGCGTGTTGAAAGAAATGTTTAATAAAGTAAACAAATAAATATTAAGCTTTTTTTTTGTAAATTTTTATACCCTTTAGATCATAATTGCTCTTTATTTCATAAATTACGCTTTCATATTTTTAATTTTATAATTTCTGCATGCCATCTTACCAGATTTAAACTAATGATCTATAACCCGGAAAAATCGATAATTCGGAATTGCTGAAGTCCCGACGAGTCCAGATTAAAGACTTTTGACTGTAGTAATTTTTTGTTAAAAAAATGTTAAGGGCATTAATACTGTCTCATGTTAATTGGTAATGAAAGTTTAGAGTCGTAAACATGCCAAAGTCTGAGCACATGTATATACATTCACGTAAAAGTGAAACAAATATATATATATCTACAGGGTTTCAAAATAAATTAAATTTAAATAATTCTCTTGCGCCATTGCTGCAAGGAATGAAATTTGAATTCAACAAACATTTTCTATTCATAAAAAGCAATTTAAAGTTAAATGAAATTTAATGCAAACAAATAAATGATTAATTATTGCTGCGAACTAATATACAATATCATTTAAATTCTGAGAGCATATGTAAATCAAGTGCAAGTATCAAAATCCATGAATAACTATATAATTCCAAAAATTTATTTATCCTATTATTCACTTATGCATTTTTATAATTTTTTTAGGATTAATAATTATTCACTTATGCATTTTTGTAAATTTTTTAGGATTAATAATCTATTCACTTATGCATTTTTATAATTTTTTTAGGATTAATAATTATTCACTTATGCATTTTTGTAAATTTTTTAGGATTAATAATCTATTCACTTATGCATTTTTATAATTTTTTTAGGATTAATAAATTTTGGGAATTATATATTTATTCATGGATTTTGATACTTGCACTTGATTTACATATGCTCTCAGAATTTAAATGATATTGTAGATTAGTTCACAGCAATAATTAATCATTTGTTTGCATTAAATTTAATTAACTTTAAATTTGCTTTTTACGAATAGAGAGAATGTTTGTTAAATTCAAATATATATGTACAGGGTAAGCTTTAAATTAGTATTATATAATTTTCAAACTTTTTTGTGGGGGGAAATTTAAATAAATAAGAGCATAAATAAAACAATATATTTATTTAACGCATATAATAATAGAAATAAATTATAAAACAAGAATATAGATGAAATTGCAACAAAAAGCTAAGAAAGTTGCAGACAGGGTGCAAAAAGCGTATGGGATTTGAACTCACGACCCCCAAAAGTAAACATTGTTACCGTCAGCTTTAACAATAAGTTTGCATCACACGGAAGTCACATGCATATTTTGGCTTATCATCAAGTAAATCAATTCTTTAAAACTAAATTTTTTGGTCCTATTTCAGTGTGCTATCATCTGAAAAATTCACCAGAGTTTGTTCTTCAGCTTCTAGTACATTTTTTACAAAAAACAATATCTTTTAAAGTGATGTTCCAATTGAAGTTAAACGGGCTGCTAAAAATATATTTCGTGTGCTTTCAAATATATGTTTGCCAAAAAGATATGTTAAATTTGTATTTCCCTTTATAAATATACTCTTTAATGCAGTGGAATATTTAAAAGGCTATCAAATTTAATTTATAATTAACGTTTTTAGTTTTTACCTGTTTCAAAAGAAAAAAAAATTAACAAATCTTTTAATCATATCTAATTTGCTATAGCAGTTTGATATAGTCAGACGTTCATTTTCATTAAAGATAAATGAGTATGCAGAACTAGGAAATAATTGGCAGGACAAATTTTGCTATTTCATGGACTTGGAATTATAATTTTTTCTGCTGATTTTCTTGAACTGAATTTCTTGAACGCCTAATTTTATCTGCAAACAAGTACTGTAGTTGCAGTTATCTTATTTTTCTTATCTTTTTTAAACTAAATTCAGCTGATTGCTGTCTTTTTCAGCATG